AAATGACAAACAATACAAACCGAATCTATACAAACATTACAAAATAGGTCAGCAAACATCACAAAGTCCAACACTATCGCCGGAAAATTTCCTCCGATCGCCGGAAAACTCTCTCTCCGGGGCCAACAAATAATTCCCATCCCAAATAATACCCATTAGCTATCTCTCTCAAATCCCCACGCCACTTATTATTCCCAGGGCCATAAAGGGACCGCCAGGGAGGGAATTAGTCCCAAGCCACCGGAAAAATTCCAGAGGCAGTCCGCGGCAAGTCCGGGAAACATGCGGCTCGCGGGAAATAGACAATATCACCGGAAAATTCTCTTTCACCGACGCCGAAAAATTCGCCGATGACGAGATGAAAAAATCATCTCTCTGTGTGTGTGAATTTCCTCTGTGCAAAAATAATATCCCATCCTTGGGGAAGGGGGAAAATCCCCGCCGCCATGAATCCCATCCTCCATGAATCCCATCCTCGCCATCCAATTTGGGGAAGGGGGAAAATCCCCGCCACCATGAAGGTCTGAGTAGAAGGAAGGACCGGAGCTGGGCGTGGAGGAACGCCGGAAAATCTCTAGTCGGCGGCGACGATGCGAAAAGTCTCAGGACGGGAGGGATACGACCAGCCATGTTTTTTTATTTCAATTTCCAAATAAATAAATTGTATAATAACCAACATGCCCTCAATTAAATTGAATTTATTAGAGCCATAACTATTAAGTAGCGGGGAATTATAGTCACAATTATCGAAATACAAATTATTAGCCATAACTATTGTTGCGGGTCAAGATTTGGCTAACAACCGTTACTGTTTTTAAATTTTTAACAGAGAAGGCCATGTCAACATTAGTAAAAAAATATTATACGATGACTGCCATGTGGGAGCCAGCTCAGCATCATAAAAGTTTAGTCATCATTACTAACAGAATTTGCGATTGGCTAATAATTTGTATTTCGATAGTTGTTGCTATAATTTCCCGCTGCTTAATAATTATGGCTAATATATTGTCTTTGCCTTAAATTTTAATGAGCTCCAATGGCTGAGATTCACTTGACCATATAACTAAGGAACAGCGGCTCTTGGACATCGCTTAATTATTAAATGAACAATAACCCGGTTGTGCTATTTTTTCGTTAAGTAACAGTAACAAAAATTTTGGTTGCTTGCGGCATAATCTACACATCCTCCATTAATATACGGTAGAGTTTTGTGTATTTTTCTCCATTTCAAATTTCCTGAAACGAGAGTGAAAGTAGGAAGGTTATTTTTGTCTTTACACATTTATTATTTATTTCATATAAAAATAGCAATATCAAGATTTGAACCCAGGTCTCTTCAAACAAAGATAACAATCACAACCAGTTACACTAAACAAATTTAATGCATCCATTTTTATACAAAAAATAGACAAAGTTAATCTCTGAAAATCAGAGGAATTTTTCATCATAATTAGCAAGCTCAGTAAGTCTATCGTATGTATTTTTATCGAGCTTGATACTTCTATTTTCATAGTAGAGTTTCATGTAATTTTCTCAATTTTAAATTCTCGCTCTCTCCTTAATTTTTGCTAAAGGTAAATGGGTAATTGGCCAACATGGAAGAAACTAATTATGTAACTACTGTTGTATCCTTGCATTTTTCAATTTAAATTTTGTGTTTTTTTATCTTTGTTCTTTTCTCTTTCTAACTTCCTCCGAAATTTCATCCATCGTGCAATAGTTTGCGCCTTTCACTTCCCAGTACCGGACTGTCATTGAAAATCAATCTTCAGGTATCTCTTGGCACTACGGTTTTATTGTTGGGGATTTTAAGCTGGGCGAGTAGAAGATTTCAACTCCGATATCAATTCATGGCGAATAGAATGGAGTTCATCAATAACTGAAGTTGTAGAAGGAAGATTAGAAATTGAATTTTTGGTTGAATATATGCCTCTTGAAATAGAAATTTGGTTGTACAACGAGAGTGGTGGCTATTGAATCTTTAGGTTTATGGTTTATGAAAATGGGGTCAATGATACATTTTTATATTTTATATTCTTAAATGATTATGATATTTCTCCGAATGTTCGACCTATATATTATTTCTTTATGTATCATCTTCGATCGAATGATTATCAATAAGATTAAACGGGTTAATAGACTTAAACGTAACATAAAAATACAAATAATCAAATATGAGCATTCCGGCCAAAGGGCCGGGTTATAAGCTAGTAATATAATACGCCGAAGGGAAAAACGGGAGCCCCATTTCAAATTTCCTGCAACGAGAGTGAAAGTAGGAAGGACATTTTGGTCTTCACAATACATTTTTTTTATTCATTAAAAAGACACGTACTGGGATTCGAACCATGACCATTTTAAAGAAAAGCAAGGATAATAACCAATCACACTAAACACATTTGTTGTATCTTTTTAAATTAAAAACATATAATAGCAGGGAGGAAAAAACCCTTCCCCCATTTCAAATTCCCTGCTCCATGAGCGTTTGTAGGAAGGGTAGAATAGGGAGTGTCAATTATTTTTCTCTTTCCTCTGTGGAACGGGCCAACTTACCCGTACACATGTGAATTTAAACAGGTCCAGGAGTGTCAATTTTTTTTCTTTAAGCCCTTTTATTTCTCCGTGGTGACAAAATATATATGAAAAGGTAAAAATAATACTCCTTTTTATTGTTAAAAATAAAATATTTAACAATAAACTAATGCATGGGATTTGGCCATAAAATAAAAGAGTTGAATGTGCCTGACCTACATGGGATTTGGCCATCAAGTAAAATAAATGAACATCATTGGTTTGTCATTCTAAAATAAGCTAATTTCTCTGACATAATATATATTATGCTATTATTTTATATCTTAGTGGCTAAAATATAATGTATTTTAAAGTTATTCAATGGTTCAACCTCGACCAACACAATTAGTCCAATTTTTATCATTTCAAATATATATTTATAATTATTTGATATCATAATGATCAAATTATAGTGTATTTTATAGGGAATCGTTTGGTATTTGATAGTAAAAAATTAAACATAAAGATCTATTTGGTTATTTTAAACATTATAACGATCCTAAACATTTTCAGTTCCTTTTGAATTTCTATGATTTTATTCCCGAATAAGTGATGTGCAAATGGCGAATTGTAGTCGTCTCTTTTCTTTCACTATTTTTTATTTTCAAATAGAAAGTTTAAAAGTAAAGAATAATTAGAATTTGGCATGGGTCGTCAAACAGGCTGAATTTCAAGTTTTGGCCTGTTTGTTTTATGCATTGCAAATTTATTAGCATTTTGATGGAAATGGCTTGGAAAAAAGACATATAAGTTGTACCTTTGCAGAAATGTCCTCAAATGTTTTAATGTTTTGTGAATCAGGTTCCGTGACTTTTGTGATGGTGTATGTGCTTGACAATTGCTCGATGTTGTAACTGCTTAATTTGAGAGTAAATCTTTTGATTTTTCCTATGAGTTGTGATACCAGTTCTGGTGGTTGCAGCATGTTGTCGTTGTTGGCCTGTAAAAGTTGTTCCGCTGTGGTGCTAAATACCTTTCTTTCTTTTTTAACAAATTGTGTAGTAGTGCTATGAAACAGACCACCCATGAACGCTACGCTTATTATGGTCTGTTCTTACTTGCGGTGGTGAGAAATTGTGAATTAAGAATCATATTCGCCTACCGCACTGTGTCTGGCTGGTGGCTACTTACTCTCTAGAGTTATGAAACAGACTACCCATGAACGTTTCCCTTAAGAGTCCATAACTTTTGCGAAAAACCAAATTTAGGCAATCAAAGGTGGTGGATGTGTGATGATTTTTTATGGCTTAATTGTTTGTGAATTGGATATTTGATCTTTGTATGATTGGAGGGGATGTTTGCTTAATAGAATAATCCATTTTAATTCATGTTTATTTTTAACATGAACTTTAGTAACTCAAAACATTCGAGACACATATCACCTACTGCATTGTATCATTTTGCCTGGGTGCTTGCTGTGTTGTCAAACTTCTTTGTTGCTGCTGCTGCTTTTACACTAACAGGGGAGTTAAGAACCCATGAATGTTTCCGTTTGACACAAACAGGAGGACTTGCTTCTAAATCGTGCACTAAAGATGATTGGAGGAAACATCTCTATTGCAGTTGATATACTGGAGACCAGAACAAAAGCAATGTATAACATCAAAACCAACCATCTGAACTATTAGCATTGTTGCTTTACTATTTTTTCGTGGTTGAGTCTCCTTCAAAAAATTTAGTTTGATTTTAGAAAATTTTACTTCTGCAGTCCTGTCTTGCCACCAACGCGTTCAGTAGATGGAGATGGCAGAGGCGAAGGTTATTTTTGTGTTGTTGTTGCTGGTTTAGGGATCGGTTTGTGAAGAAGAGGGAGAAGAGAAGGGGAAAGGGAAATGCAGGAGAGGGGGGTAACTCTTTTCTCTGACAAAAATGGAGTGAAGAAAGGAATTATGATCAGTAAGGATATGATTATCTTACATAACGGTCTCTATTTTGTTTGAATTGAGCTTGGGAGGCAGTGATAAGGACGAGCTGCAACCAATTCATAGTGAGAAGAGAGCTATCAACTGTGATCATGTCTTATTTCAAGTTAGAAGGTAGTTTCAGTATAAGGATTATTTAATTTGACAAGTTGTTTCGTCCATGATTCTTGGTAGTTTCAGTGCCATTCTAGCCATTGTTTAGTCTGTAATTTTTGAGAATTGATGTGCGAGTAATGACTTTCACTTAGCTTCAACTATTATGTGTGTATTTATTGGCATGTGATAGAAATCTCTTTTCCTTTTCTTTGAATTCAGTTTCATACTCTAATTGTATCATTTGTACATAGGCAAATCATGCTCGAGATGACAACTCGCTGATAAGACTGGTGCAAGGAACGGAGCCATCATTAGAATTCAGACCGACAACGGGGAGGGATGCCCAGAACTAATTCAATGATGATTGATGATGGTATAATAAAAACTGCAGTCTGCATCAACACCAATTTCTAGGCCTAAGTAAAGTTATTCAACCCAGAACTCTGCTTAGCGCTAAAAATTTCCCTCACCCAACCTTGATCCTGTTTGACCCACTTCTGAAGAGTCAAGATATATGAATATGACTAATCCTCTCCGTTCGTATTTTCTTATTGACTCTTTCTGACCCTTTAGGTTGGGGCGGGTCGGGAAGAATCAGATTAGTGGGTCGGTCCTAATCAAGTGGAATCTCAATCCCTTCACTCTCACTTGCTTTCTCTCCTATTCCACAAGTGGGTAACATACAGTAATCCGGCCAACGGGCCGGGTAATAGGCTAGTTATATAATAATAATAATAATAATAATAATAATAATAATAATAATAATAATAATAATAATAATAATAATAATAATATCACCCTTAACAACAACAAAAAAATGTGATAGTTGCAGGATATTGGACTTCTATCTTTTGATGAGTGGACAGATCCTAACTGCTTGAACCGAAGCCACGGGGACTGGGCCTTGATGATAATGACTGCTTCTTGGATTCTGATATTCTCTTCCTTCTTGCGGTACGAGGAGGAGCCTTAGGCACAACAAAAGTATTCGCGTTAGATTGATTAGCAAGCCTTCACCTAGTCAGGATTTGTGCTTACTCATCACTGCTATTCCTAAACTGTCATTTATCCAAAATAAAAGTTAAAGAGGAAGTTGAGAAGATAAAGTACCTTCTGTACGGCCTTTAGGGAATCTTCAAGATTGCTCAGAGCAGGAATAGATTCACCTTCCATTGCACCCATCATATTCTTCATCCGAACTCGCATTTGGAAAAGTTGGGCAACAAGTTGGCTCACCTATTATTCATTACCAGCCGTTATAACAATAAACAGGTAACAAGATTAGCAGCCTATAACAGTTCTCGTCTCTGTTCACAGAGCATACCTGCTGCTCTGTTTTCCCAGACGCTTGTGCAATCCTTTTCCTCCTAATTGATGACTCTGCCAACAACTCAGGCTTCTCTCTTTCCTCTGCAAATTATTAAGGCTCGTTTTCAGAGGGGAAGCATGGGCTGGCTGAAAGAACTATGGATAAGTATCAACTTTCTCAAGCAGAAAGGAAAAAGCCAAAGGTGCCTGGAGTCATTGCTTCAATCATCGCTTCCACGATCTTTAAGCTTTTCTCTGCTTCTCGAATTTGAACAGGAGTTACCTGTTTGATTGTGAATAAATATACGATTAGCCATTTGATGCCTCTAGTGTCAGCAAAAGAACTAGTACACTTGAAGCACACCAGCTGCATACTTCTCAACGGCAATAAAGTAACTGTAGAACCTGAAGCGGGTTCCCCCATATACCTTTCCCATCCCTGGGATCATGCCAAGGACACGAGTCATGGAACCCATGCGTGCGACTGCACGAGTTTGCTTCAGGAAATCATTGAAATCGAATGTTGTGCTCATTATCTTCTTTTGAAGGTCTTCGGCATCTTCTTGGCGCATCTAGATATCAAGGGTGAACGAAGCAAAATCTCCAAATCAAGTCATGTTTTTTTTCTCTCCAGATGAATGAATAGCCTGGAGTTTACCAGCCACTTACTACTTCTTGTGCTTTCTCCACAAATGAGAGAACGTCTCCCATTCCTAAAATACGTCCAGCCATACGATCTGGGTAGAAAGGTTCCAGGTCATCCATTCTCTCTCCTCGACCTACAAGTTTGATTGGCTTTCCTGATACCTGTCACGGGTTCCCCCTCAACTTTTAGACATTGGACAATATACTAATACAAGTTTCATTCCACAGTCCTTTTTTATACTTCAATTTGTTTATAGGAAAGCAAATGAAATGACAAATGATAAGTGACTTAAATAAAGCTTGAGCTTTCATAGAGCCACCAGACATATCATAACTAACATATGATATCCTACTTGAAACATGAAAAATTAATATTGCTTATATCATTGTTACACCAGTAGGAGAACAGTTGTACAGATTTCGAAAAGCCAGCCATGACTGCTAAGTCCTAACCAATTTCAGAACAGAATTCCAGGTGCAGGGAACTAAATATGAGTTGCTGTCTATCTAGAACAATCCAAATCCTATGATGTAACTGAAACATTCACTATAATAAAGGGATTGGTGGAAAATCTTAATCAGGAAGAGGCTTCTAAAAGGTATACAGTACTAGGAACGATTCTAATGATAACTAAAACTGACCTCTTTAACACTCAGAGCAGCCCCACCTCTGGAATCTCCATCTAGCTTTGTCAAAATGGCACCCGTGATTCCAATTTCAACATTGAAAGTAGTCACCAGTGCTGCAATAGTGTAATGAGATAATGCTTAGATGATATTCCTTTCTTCGAGGATGTCTCTCATCGAGCAAATTCATCAACTTTTTGGGAAGATATGTAGTTAATAAAAGCAACAATTCATAGGATCAGAAGTGCTTAGAATATTTCATTTTAAATATTAAGATCCGATTGATCATCAAAGAAAACCAAGCAAAACATTTGACTCACTGTCCCATCTGAACCCTCAAGTTTCACTCTATTCATGAACAAACAGCACAAGAGGATTTAGCTTAGATGCTAGACTGACATCTATGTGTGTGTGCATGTGGGACTTTTATATAAATTTCAATTCAAGCACTTGCTTTGAAATTATTGGATTGTGCAAAATAATAGGGGGAAACCTGCAGCTTCTTGGCCTGTCATAGCATCAACAACAAGCAAAATCTCAGTTGGGCTCAGGACTTTCTTCACGTCTTTCAATTCATCCATCATCCCTTTGTCTATCTGTAAACAATTAAGCAAGTAATTATTTAGCTGGAAGATAAAGCCATGAAACTTTCCAAGAACTGCATGGTTATTGTGATTTGCATATTCACCTGAAGCCTTCCAGCAGTATCAACTATCAAAACATCTACATTTTGTTTTTTAGCCTCCACTAAGCCTTTCCTAGCTATTTCAGCAGGCTTGACATCCGTCCCCTCTGTATAAACAGGAACACCCACCTGCAGAAAACTATAAAATGAGAAAAAAGTTTCATGGCTAAGAAACGAACGTTTTGCATATCTAGTGGCATATATTTGCTGTTTATTGTTAGAGTAAACGATACAGAGAAAGGTTTATAATATAAACTGGATTCAACTGATACTTCACAGAAGTAGGGAACACGCTACCTGTTCACCTAAAATGATGAGTTGTTCAATAGCAGCAGGTCTGTACACATCTCCAGCAACAAGCATGCAACTCTTTCCCTGTCCCAACCATAACAGGTGAGAACTAATGAGATGATGCGGATTGCTATTGTTGTTTTCTAAGCTAGGAACACAGATTCCGCTGAAAGTTTTACCAATGTGACAGAGAACAGAAAGAACATCTCTGCAACCACCTACCTGTTTCTTAAGATAGTTTGCCAGCTTTGCACATACTGTCGTCTTGCCAACTCCTTGTAGACCAGCCAATAATATGACTGTAGGGCTAGATTTTGCAAAAACTAGTTCAGAGACCTCTCCTCCCATTAATTTCACAAGTTCATCACGTACAATCTGCAGTAACCAGATAAGTTATATCATCCAACAAACCCTTCAGTGAAGCTTATAACCACCAATTTGTGAGTGAACTTGACAACCTAAAAGCATATCAATTGAATGCTTCAAACGAAACCTAATTCTTATATGACATGAAAAGCTGAGGAAAGACTCAAAGTCGTCACTTTCTTACCACTATAATTGCATTAGACAATTGAAATTCATACCTTGACCAATTGCTGATCAGGCTTCACTCCTCGTATCAGGCCTACCCCAACGGCTTCCTCGCTAACTGATTGAACAAACCTTCTAACAACTGGAAGGCTTACCTACCACAAATATAGCAAACCTTAATACTGTATATGAAGTTTCATAAGGAAATCATTCTAATTTCTAGCCATGAATACGAAAGCAACTCACATCTGCTTCCAGAAGAGCTCTCCTAATATCCTTCATAGGCTCCACTATGTTTTCCTTCGTCAAAACCTCTGAAATGCCAGGACTAATTACAATTAAGTAGGAGATAACACCGGTAGCTTCCAAGTTCCAAAACCATAACTGAAGATCGTTACAGTAGAATAGGCGATAAGGAATTACCTTCTCCTTTGAGCTTGTTCCAAGCATTTTCAAGCCCGCTCGTCAACTGCCCAAACATTTCTGCTCTCACCACGCCACGCGTATCTCTTCTCAGAGCAACGCTCCTGCTATTCACCCAACCCCACAGTTGTCTCTGCTCACAGTAAATCCCTAGCAGAAATCAAACATTTCCGCCGCGCAATAAAGCATCAGAAAGAGTTACAAGTTCAAGATCCTTTTTGACTTACAGTAAACGGATTTCTGGACGAAAGAGAAACAACGCTGCTCGAACCGCTCCATGAAGAACGGACTGCTTTAGCAGAATTCCTCGCACATTTGCAGCTAAACAAGCTCCTGGAGCTCTTCGGCAAGGACTTCGAAGGAAAGTGGCGGGAGGCAACGGTCGAGAACTGTACGGCCTCCATCGCTGGCGAAGAAAGCCGCCGGGAGTTCTGATATATATTTGTTTAGTTTATCTATCAGCTGGAAATCCGTTTGTAATTTGCCCCGTCTTCCATCTCTTATCTTCGGTGAGCTGGATCGGATACTCCGCAGCCCAGCGAATGAATTCCACTTACTAGATCCTGCGCCGTTAATTTTTTAGACCTCCACGTGTCCAACGGTAGAGTAACGGAATTTACTAATTTAGCGAGGACTAGTTGGCCGCCGGTGAATAACGGGATGATTTTCTGATCGGAGTTCGTAACATTGTTCAACCAAAGAAAGTGGAGCGAAACGGCGTCTTATGCGGGCGTTTTCCCGCCGGTGAACGCGCAATGAGCGCCATCAGGACCAAGCTTCATCACCAACTCCAGACCGTCACGGCAAGAATTCCCGTCGTCAATTCGACGGCTCCCACCAGAGGCGGGGTTCAACCATGGAACAGTCGATTAAGGGAGCTAGCAAACAAGTCGCTCTTCTCAGAAGCCCTGTCTGTCTACCTCCAAATGCTTCGCTCCGGTGCATCCCCGAACGCATTCACTTTCCCGTTCGCGCTCAAGTCATCCGCCGTGCTTTCTCTCCCCATCACCGGAGAACAGCTCCATTGCCAAGCGATCAGAACGGGTTGTTTGTTAGAACCCTTTGTTCAGACCTCTCTGATATCGATGTACTGCAAGTGCAATTTTGTTGACGTTGCGCGCCAGGTGTTTGATGAAAATCCCCTGTCAAGGAAGCTCACGGTTTGCTACAATGCTTTGATTGCTGGGTACGCCCTGAATCTCAGAACGAAGGATACCGTGTCGCTGTTCTGCGAAATGAGGGAATTTGAGGTGGAGATCAATGGGGTGACCTTGCTCGGCTTGGTTCCAGTTTGTGGAGTGCCGGGGAATTTCGGACTTGGCATGTGCGTGCACGGTTGCTGTCTGAAGTTCGGACTAAATCTCGACTTCTCGGTTGGGAATTCCTTGCTCTCAATGTATTTGAGATGCGGAGAGATCAAGAGGGCCAGGAAACTATTCGTTGAATTGCCGGGGAAAGGGTTGATTACCTGGAACACGATGATCAACGGTCATGCACAAAATGGACTTGCTAACGATGTGTTGGAGCTCTACAGAGAGATGGAAGCAAGTGGGATTCAACCTGACCCTGTAACGCTCGTCGGTGTTCTCTCATCTTGTGCTAATCTTGGTGCACAAGAGGTAGGTAAAGAGGTGGAAAGGCGAATTCACGCTTGTGGATTTCTAGCTAATCCGTTTCTGAACAATGCTTTGATCAACATGTACTCCAGGTGCGGCAACTTGGTGAAAGCCAGGGAAATCTTTGACAGAATGCCGGTCAAAACTGTAGTCTCTTGGACAGCAATCATAGGAGGTTATGGAATGCACGGACAAGGAGAGGTCGCAGTTGACCTCTTCGATGACATGATTAGAGCCGGCACAAGACCCGACCGAGCAGCTTTTGTGAGCGTTTTGTCTGCCTGTAGCCATGCCGGTCTAACCGATAAAGGGTTGCATTATCTTGATACCATGGAGCAGAAGTTTCACCTGAGTCCAGGTGCAGAGCATTATTCCTGCGTTGTGGATCTTCTAGGCCGAGCTGGACGACTAGATGAAGCTCACGGACTCATCAGGAACATGAAAGCTAAACCTGATGGTGCAGTCTGGGGAGCACTTTTAGGCGCCTGCAAAATTCACAGAAATGTGGAACTGGCCGAGTTGGCTTTTGAACGTGTTGTAGAGCTTGAACCAACAAATATCGGCTACTATGTTCTGTTATCGAACATATACACTGATGCTGGGGATTCGGAGGGGATACTGAGGATTCGGGTGATGATGAGAGAACGAAAGCTAAAAAAGGACCCAGGCTGCAGTTATGTTGAATTCAAAGGCAGAGTTCACCTCTTTGTTTCAGGGGATAGAAGTCATCCTCAATCGAAGCAAATATACGAGTTTTTGGATGAGCTGGAATGCAAACTGAAGGAACTTGACCAGAATAGAGCCAACGAGCAGCTGCGAGGGTTGAGTGGGATGGGGGTGCACAGTGAGAAACTGGCTGTTGCATTTGGGCTCTTGAACACGAAGGAAGGAGCAGAGATTGTTGTGATGAAGAACCTGAGGATATGTGGAGATTGTCACTTGTTCATGAAGTTGGTTAGCAAGATTTTGCCACGTCGTGAATTCGTAGTGAGAGATCCAACTAGATTTCATCACTTCAGAAACGGAGTTTGTTCTTGCAAAGACTATTGGTGAAATAACAACATTCCAGATGCAGTAATATTTCATTTATGATATCATATAGATCAGAACTGTGTTACAGAACCTCCAATGGTTACAACTGCATTAGTTCCAGAAACAAGCTCGTCTTCAACGAATGGTATGGTTTTCCTCGCAGTTAATTTAATCGGAAGAGCTTTTCCAGCTCCACCAGTTTCTTGTCTTTCTAAGCAAATAGCAACATAATGAGAGCCCATCAGCTCCAACAATGCGAACTGCCAGTTGTTTGTGAGATTCTGAGGGCTATCCAAAGTTTCCACAGCTATTCCAGAAGAGGCCTGATTCAATGGCATATACAAGAAGAATCATTAGTCAAACAGCTTTAACAAGATATGTACTTTGTAAGCACAATTTCAACTCTTTTCTTGCTTTAACTAGACAAAAACTTTTTTGGGCAGCTGTATTCACCCGAATAGTGAATGTGTTGAAGGGTGAAGAAGAGAATCCTTTTCCCAAGGCTTTGACATATGCCTCCTGTAAGCGACATTAATCATAGAAAGAACAAAGTAAGAAATGCAGCTAGAAAGATCACAGCCTAAGGTCAAAACAACAGAATTCTAAAGATGCAGATAGTACATCCGTTGTTCCTGAAATCGTTGTATTTGCAGCATGCTCACCTTAAGGGTCCATAATTTGATGAACTCCTGTTGCTGGAGTTCAGAATCTGGAATGGCATTCAAGTGTTCAACCTCATGAGCAGTGAAATACCGCTTTGCAAAAGCTAGGATGTTATTCTTGGTCCTCCGTCGCTTCTCTTCAACATCGATGCCAATCTACAGCCACAGAATCAAACACATTCGTTTCAGTTAGGTTACAACAGCAAAAACAAGGAGCAGATAAATCAAATTGCAACACTCGATAAAACGAACAAGGCAAGTAAGTACCAACGAATTCATAGTCACTCCACAAGCTACTAAAGAAGAAGTGTGTGAGATGTTGAACTGCAATGGCGGCGGGCAGAAACCATCCTTAGTTTCCCACTCCACCTATTCTAGAGAACAGCCAACAACATAAACCAAAACTTAGATCTCTAATAGCTACACAGCAATCATAACAAAACCAGAACAATGCCAGCCAGTTCTACCTCAGGTTTCCCATGGATATTCCTCTTGAACCTCAACGATCTCGGATCAAGATGATCATCTACCTGATCTAGTTACACAAATTCATCACTCAAGAAGACCATACTCCAATTTGCAACAAGGGAAAAGGCTAAGAAGGAAGAAAAAACCCCATACATCTTGCAATGGTTGTGCGAACCAAAGTGCGAGCAAGCAAAGCGCTCTTCTGAAGCTGATCTCCGCGGAAGCCGAGAACATGATCTCTCTCGTACTGGGGCAAAAGCTCCATGTATTTGCTCAGAAGAGGCGCACTCTTCACTTCATCAGGAACTACATACCACAAGTGCGTTTCCCTGCAAAAAACGAAAAACAAAAACGAAGGCTCTCGCGTTAACATCGATCTTCGAAGAAATGAAAGCATCAATTAGGGTTTGGTGGGCAATAAGCATACATTCGAGAAGGGAGCTGGACGGGGAGCAAGGGGGGTAACGCGGCGGAGAAGTTTCTCGACAAGCAGCAGTAATGTGGATTCATAAAGGAGAAATTCAAATACGATCTTCGAAGAAATGAAAGCATCAATTATGATCTCCTGAAGGAAATCAAGGGAGAAAACGCAAAAAGAAGCAGGGGCAAAATCAGGGGTTGGGAAGGGAGAAGCGGAGACCGGCGGAGTTGGAATGACCGCCGGGAGCCGTCGGTGAGGTGGCTGCTCTGAGCGAGACGATTTTGGCCCGAAAAGCGAATGGGCCTTTAAGTAAGGTCCAGACTCCAGCCTATTTTACTCATCCAGAGCAATTAAGCCCGGCGCTCCCACTTAGGCATTCCGTGCATGGACCTCTTGTAATATTTTCTAGGATTTGAAAAACAATAGGGTAAAAACAATATATTAGTCATAACTATAAAAATACAAATTATTAGTTATAATTATTGTCGCGCGTATATAAATGGTTAACAATTTGTTACTGTCATTAACTTTGTAACGAAAAAGGTCACGTCAACAGCCACGTCAGATTAAATTTTATTTTTAATTTTTGAAGATAAAAAATAAAAATAAAAATTGAGGGTCAAAGCCCTACTTTCCCCTTCTTCTTCTCCAGCAACATCACCTCTCGACCTTCTTTCCTGCTCCTCCGCCTAGCCGTCGCTTCTTCCCTCCTCCTCCCAATTGAATCCCTCCGCCTCAATCTCCCTTCTTCCCTCCTCCTCCAACCCCAAATCCATCAATTGAAACCCCAACTGCGATTGGAGACAGAGACGAGGGGAAGGAGGAAGAGGTGGCACAAACAGAGGGATCCCAATCTGGCCTATGGCGGCGGCTATGTAAATCTGGCGGCGGCTCTCGAGAGAATGGCCCAGCCACGAACCCCAATCTGGCCTACGGCCTGGCTGCCGCCGCTCCCGTGTTCTCCGACCCATTTCAGGTCGGAAGCAGACATCGCAGCTGGGGAAGCCGGGTTCCCCTTGGAGGGCGGCGTCAGTTTTCGGTTCTTGGACTTTGGCAGTGCTGCGGCGCCACCGAGCTCAGCTTTTTGTTCTCTCCAGGGAAGAGGATGGATCGTCGATTTCACGATAATTTTGAGCTTAGGTCATTTGAGTTTGACTCGGTGGTTGTGATGGTGATGTCGCTAGAACTTGAGAACGATTGAGAAAGATTAGTGGGAGGCTTGAGGTAGAGAGAGATGAAATGGGGGCATCTGGATTGGAAGGAGATCTGAAGATCTTCGATAGTGGGGAGTGGTGATGTTGGATAGTGGTGGAGCAGAGTTGAAGGTGGCGTAGGGTAGAAGTGGAAGAAGAGGAGGATGGGGTGAAGACGAGAGGAGGAATTTTGGGTGGAAAGGAGGAATGAAGGTACGGGTTAGTGGGTGGAAGAAGCTCTTTAGAGCTCGTCGGAAGGAGGAAGTGTATGGTAACTGCTACGTCGGAGCCAGCTCAGTATCGTAAAGGTTAGTCAGCATTACTAATGGAATTGCTAACGGAAAGTTAACGTTTGGCTAATAATTTGTATTTTGATAATTGTGGCTATAATTCCCCGGAACTTAATAGTTGTGGCTAATATATTGTTTTTACCCAAAATAATAAGTGGTTATGTTCGGTATATGGAATCCTTTCAACAACTAAGTGATTGAAACTAGTTCGTTTATGAAAAGTATAATGAAGACTATTTGCGGAAATATAAAGAAGATGTGATTTACGTGATATCTTTGCTTATCATAATTAGTTTACAGGAGAGAGTGAGTCTCTTCGACTCTGTATCTCTTATTGAAGATTCTTAGTCTTGGCCGAATGGCATTGCATCAAAATATATCCCTATCATCAGAAGCTACTAGGATTACATTGGTGTCATGTGTACGTGTGTTGTCGTGCATGGACATTCAACAACATCCATATGGAAGAGGTCTAAGAAAATACTGGACGAGAAAAACAAACCCTGTCTAGGGTAGATCTTGAGATAACAAAGGATGCATTCAACAGCACCCATATGGGCACGAGTAGGTGTATAAACAAACTGGCTGAGTTTATTGACACCATATGTGATGTCGAGGTGAGTAATTGTCAGGTATAAGAGGCATCCAATGAGCCGAAGATAAGCATATGGGTCAAGGAGAACCGAAGGAGGAGGTTGAGTGAGAGGATGGTTCTGCTCAAGCGGAAAGGCACTATGATGACAAGCTGTAACACTAGCCTCCTTCAAAATATAAAGGACATAGGACAAACTTGTGCTGATTGAGGACAATGCTGTGAGGAGAACATGCAGCTTTAGTACTCATGAAATAGAGAATACTACTAAGATATATTATGCTAAAGCGGAAGTCTAGAAACTTCTTCACATGGGAGATAAAGGTGAGGTTATTACCGGTCAAAAGTCGATGTCAACGTAAATGAAAGTTGTGACGAAAGTGCTCCCCAAGGAAAGATATACAAAGAAGGATATTAAAGCGCACCAAGGGTGGTAGTGAACTTGTCATACCAATTTACAGATGCCTGAGATAGCCATACAACAATTTAGGCGATAAACACGCGTATCACTGGCAGCAGCAAAGCCTTGAGGAACACTCATGTAACTTTTTCATTGAGATCGTCATGGAGAAAGACGTTATTAACACCGAGTTGATGAATGAACCAACTCTTACTGACTGTAACGAACAGAAGACAACAAACAGTGACAAGTTTGGGAACATGCGAAAAAATGACGTGGAAATCGATGTCGTCAACCTGAATATATCTTTTAGGGACAAGACGAGTCTTATGTCTCCTCAATCTCCAAATCCTGCATCTTCGCTGTTATTCTTTATTGGAAGCTCTAGTATGGTTGTAAGCTCTTACCACTCTATAGTCTATATTTGATTAGAGGACATTGTCAGTACAACTTGATTATAATGAAATATAGAGCCATACATTAACCAAAAAGTAAATTGAGTTTCACCAATATTAGTATGTTTGGTATAAGATTTGGAATTATTGTCAACTACTCCTTAACCAACGAATCACAACTGCTTATGTGAATTCAGATTATCTTTTGGTAATTGATAATGCACTCTATAATTTCTATCTCCTTTTTCTTGCACCATATTATTGTAAATGGAAACTCCTCCTCTCAGCCTCATATGCCCTTGACCACTAGGGGTGGCTATTCGGTCCGATTTGGTCTTTTCGAGAATATCATAATTGAATATTGGATTAGGTACAATTCGATTTTGACCCGGTCCGGTCTCAATCTGGACCAAATAGCCACCTCTATTGACCACCATAACAGCTCCAAGCATTCCACTATTTCGTCGTCGTTTTTAAGTCGGCTATTAGATATAATTCTTACTACATCACTGTGTTGTCTTTGTAGTAGGGAAGCAAAAAAGACTCATATTTCGGTATTGCATAAACTCAATTTATTATGGGTCAAATTTTTTTTACTTTTGGGACGAACCCATACTCGAATTGTTATAAACGCGCTGCTACGGATCGGAAAATCGCAGGAATCGATAAAGCAAGAATACGAAAGCGAAAATGGAAAACGCAGACACACGATTTACGTGGTTCACTAACACGATGTGTGTTAGCTAGTCCACGGGCGAGAGAGAGCCAGTTTCACTATATCGATGAGATAACAGATTACAGAGGAGATGAGAAGTATATATACTTCTCCATGTGGGTCTAAACCTAATCCAATCTGGCAAAGGAAACCCCCGACTAATCCAGTCATAGCGGCTGATAGTCCGATTCAAGTCACATCAACACGAATTTTTAGTTTGAATATAAATTGGGTCCATAGATTTGATATCCGAAAGAAAATAAATATACGATTCTAATGAAAATTGCTTATAAAACAAACATAAAGGTGGAAACACCTAAATTAATGGTGTAATTGGGTTGAAGGTAGTTAATAAAGATAGTTGATATTGTCCTTTTGTGCCTACAATCATCTGGATCAAAGTTTGTCCAAATTGAATCGAATTTAAACCTAAAATTATTAAATGTACTTATTGATTCATTTAGATCTGACTCAATAAGCATATGAACCATAACAATTGGCTCAAATTACCCAATAAGCCCACCATTCTCATGCATGCATCTGTACATCATAGCCATAGATAATATGGCAGTAAATACTAATTAAGTCCATAATTAAGTAGGAGACTTGAGAGCAAAGATATATTTCCCTCAATAATACAATCCTGGTGACCACGAACCATTACTTTATTGTGTTAGCCACGAAAGTGACAAAGCCTTATTCAGTTATTCGCTTATTATTATTTTTTGGTTTTGGCCGGATTACAAATGCTACGTGTCTAGCAAGGAAGAAGAAATTCATTGGGCCGGCTACCAAAATGGAAAATGACGATAATATATTCGTCGATAGTATAAAATGAAATCTAAGCAAATTGGCACCCACGTTATGGGTCGAGTGTGTGCAGCCTGTAAAGCAAAGCTACTGCCTTGTCCATTACCCTGCAATTCAAACATTTCCAAACAAAATTCTCATCTTCTTCGCGGTGCCCCCTTATGCATCGACCGTACAATAATCTACGAATGCTTGTAAAACTAAAAGTTTATATTATCAAAGCAAATTCCACAAGAAAAGAAAAACCATCTGGCAGATTTTATTTCGTTAAAGCAAAAATAACATCATCAACTTACATCTTACAAGATTTATATCAATCCTAAATGTTCTAATAAGTGCAGAAATAAAACAAATATTACTTATACAGTCTTAGTTTGTACAAAACTTGCAATCAAGTACCTCATAACTTCTTCCTTGGACAACATTTGTCGGTTGTAATAACAACAGATTTCTTCAAACGAACAGCTATAACGAGGTTCATCACTCATTGGTTAGCATTTCACGATTAGGGGTGACAGTTCGGTTGTCGATTAGCGGCTAACAAGTCGGTTTGACCGATAACCACCGGTTAGCGGCTAACCGATAACCGCCCTTTACTTGTAGCGGTCGGTTGTCGGAAGGCCTGAGGGGTGCTTCGGATAGCCGAATAATCAGAAACCGGTTACTCGGCTAACCAATGGTAACCGACCTTAACCCCACACGACCACACACACACAAACTAAACTTAACCCCTTCCTAGAAAACCCTAATTCCCAAAACAAAAACCTTCCCTTCCTTTCTCCCCGCAACGCCCCGCGCCTCTGCAGATCTCCCCTCGGTGCTCCTCTTCCAAGACCAGATCGCCAGTCGTCCTCCCCGCCTTAGCTTCCTTCATCTCCGCCATCGCTCGTTTGCCACCACCATCGTCGTCGAGAGCAGGCGAGACGCGAGAGCAAGGCGCCTTCTTCTCTTCCATCACAGGCGAGACTCGTCGCGATTCGCCGCTCGTCCGCCACCACCAGTCACCACCATTGGTTCGGTCGCGCCTCCATTCCCCTAGCGAGTGTTGGTGTGCTACTTCTTCCGGTATAAAATGGAGAGATGAAAGGAGAGAGGAGGAAGGAGAGAGGGAGGAGAGGCTCCATAAATCTAAAATGGAGAGAAGGGAGGGGAGAGTCTCAACAAATCTAAAATGGAGGAGAAGGAAGGAGAGAACGGGCAGGCATAGTGCCTCTATAAAAAAAGTAATTAAATGTCGACAGCAGTGCAGTCAAAATCGCGCATTAAAACGTACGTATCCACCAAAACGTTTCAGCTTCTACCTAAAGTTGCTTAGTCACAAAAACTAGTAAAAACATGGGTAAAATCGGTAAAATCGCTTAAAATCGGTAAAATCGCGATTCTGAAGCGTTTTTATACGATTTTGTTCATCTCATAAAAATGTGCTAATTGGCCCAAAATGATGTAATTTTGGAGACATATCAGCAAAAAATAAAAATAAAAAAGGAAAACATGATTCATCACTCGTTCTACAACTAATGTCGAGATAGGGGCTTCACATTAGGTTGAAAAGACACCTAATGGTATTCTCAACAGTCGCTGACCTTTACCAGTCTTCTTCCTTAATCTTCACCTGTGGCTCTTACCTGGGTTACGATAAAAGTTTATGGGTAATTGATCGTATGTAATTATGTAAAATCAAACCAGCTTATGAGAATTTGGATTCTCAAGCTCGTTTACGGGTACGATCTACGTTTATGAGCTTATGATTAAGATGTTATGAGTTTTCTCTACTTTTGAGTCAACACAAATTAGTTTATGTGTTAGATATTACATTTTAATTATGAATTTCATGTAGTTATTCACTTATCTAAAATCTACACACTCACATTTTACATACTATATGTTGTACTTAACATATTTTAGCTATTTTAGAGAGCGCGTAAAAAACTTACGCTTTTACGCTTTGGTTCTACGTTTTACGATTTTACCCATTTTTCGCTTTTAGGTAGAATCGCGCTTTTAACTACATTGGTCGACAGTTTGGAGAGAAGGTAGGTTTTTTCGGTTGGCAGGCTAACCGAGCCTAAAATCGAAACCGACCGGTCGGTTGGCTGGCTAACCGAGCCTAAAATCGAAACCGACCGGTCGGTTGGCTGGCTAACCGTGACTTCCCTCACGGTCGGTGGTCGGCAACTATAGGAGGTGGCTCGATTTAACCGATAACCGAGAATTCAGTTTCGGTTAAATCGAAACCAACCGACTGACACCCCTATTCACGATGTACATTTTTTTGTTGTTGGTTGCACTTGATTTCTAGAAATCACATTCATCAGATAATATTCGGACTAGGTGTTTGATATTCGGAGAATTTACATGAAATTACCCTATTATAAATTTTTCGTGCACTTATAAAGAATCCTTTATGGAAGGCTAACTCGACAAATATGAGTTACAGAAAAAGATAATAAACAATATGTTTGAGATAATTGTTGTATGTGTGATTTTTTGGTGTCCCCTCTTCACATATATGCTCCTGATACTTGTAGAAAAATATATGTTATCGCAAAATGGCCTTGGGTTTGTCACCTACGTTATTCGCTCTCTACTAGGAAGTCGCAATACTTGAATCGCCTTGAATCCCTGCATTTCACTTTTCTTCGCGTAAGTCCCACAAGCGAGAAACTGCTTGTTGGGAAACAAAAAACTCAAAAAGACATGGGTTGCAACATTATTCCGCTAGCGACATCATTTTCCTTTCAATCTCATCCTCACACTAAGACACGTGAGCCACGACTAGGACCAAACCAAGCTCGCTTCACACAACAAAACCACACCACTACGGGCTGACCGCAACATGGTTAGAGCCACGATGATTCCACACCATCATCTCGGGCAGGGCCAACGTATAGTTCTTGAGTCAACATGGCTGCAATCATGTAGCCACTTTGACGTCATCCTTTTGATAAACTAGAACGTTGCTCCGTCACCCCTAGTTATGTTATTGGATGCCTTCTTGATGTCAAGTTTGAAAAGGAGGCTAGGTTTCTCGATCTGCCTTCTACTATCCACAATTTCATTTACTATCCATGGAGACTCGTAAATCTTTCTTCACCTTAATTTTCAAACTGGTTTCCTAGTACCACAGTTTGCATAACCAAACAAGCCTTTTTGTTAAGACCTTAAATTCAGCTTGTTTGGACTTTCATGGAGACTAATGGGGTAGAAAGTCTTGAATATGATCTACAACATCCCCCCTAGATTCTAGTCAAAATCCTATTACAATAGAGGTGTTCAAAAGCTCGAAGCAAATCATCCTCCATCAAACCCCACAACTTCATTTTTTAGTGAAAAGCAATTGAGAATCCATCTAGTCTCGGTGCCTTATTCCCTTTACATAGTCTTATTGAATTCCAAATTTTGTCTTTTGTGAAGGGTTTCACAAGTGATCCTTTATCAGTTAATAAACTTGGAATCGACCTAACAACAATCTATGGTCGTGAAGACTGAAAAGCTACTTGTTCTCATTGTTGTATCTGTTTATGTAGTTGGATCAAAGTAGTAGAAGACAATCTTGCTTCATAAGCAAGTACAATCCACAAAAGGAAAAGCGTACAGAAATATAAAATTCGGTACTGAAAATGTAAATTTTCAACACGCAGTCATTCTCGGATCTTTTAAGTTGCACCAGAAACGATGTCAATCTAGCTCCATGTACATTCCTTTTGATCTGAGCGTGGGAAATTCAAATGTTTTTAATTGTCCCTGATACCCCCCCCCCCCCCCCTTGGGTAAGCTGGTGGGCACGATTCGTCGACATCGAGCTTGGAGAGGAAGAGGGAAAGACTGTCCGGCGGAAGCGACTTTGTGAAGAGGGTTATGAGTTGGTGACAGTCAAAAGATGGAGGATTTTGATGATGTCAGCTTGGAGCTTTTCTATGATGCAGTGACAGTCGAGCTCTATGTGTTTGGTGCGCTCGTGGAAGGTGAAGTTTTGTGCTATGTAGATGGAAGATACGTTATCGAAGTAGAGAGTAGGAGGTTGTGAATGAGGAATCCATAATTCATTGAGAATATAGAGGAGCCATTGGACCTCACAAGAAGTATAAGCAAGAGCGTGGTACTCAGCTTCACAAGAAATGAGGGAATAACCAAGGTAGACACAATAGCCAGTGATGTATCATCGTGTATTGACATAGATGGCCCATTCAGAGTCACTGAAGGCTTTCAAATGCAGTGATGAAGTGGAAGAGGAGAATAAACTAGTGGAGGGAGCACTCTTAAGGTATCTGAGAATTCATGTGACCGCTTTCTAATGAGCTTGGCTAGGATTAGACATGAATTAACTCACTTGTTGAGTGTCAAAGTTGATATCAGGCCTAGTAGTGGTGAGGTAGATGAGTTTGCCAACCAAATGTTTGTAATATTCTGGAATTGGAAAAGGGTCATCATTCTGAGTTGAGAGGTGAGATTTGTAATACATGACGATGTTGACTAGTTTGGAATTTAGCATATCAACATCCTCAAGAATCTGTAGTGTATACTTACGTTGAGAAATGTGAATGCTAGATTTATTTCTTGTAACTTCAATGCCTAAGAAGAACTTGAGATCCCCCCATTTCATTGATATTGAATTCTTCATGTAGAAATGATTTAAGACCGGTGATCTCAGTAAGATCAGTGCCACTAACCACTAGGTCAACAACATAAACCAATACACAAGTGTAGGAAATAGGAGTGGCATTGTGGAATAAGGAATGATCAACCTTGTTGAAAGTATAACCTTGAGCATACAATTTCTTTACTAGTTTGGGGAACCGCTAGCGAGAAGCCTGTTTAAGTCCATAAAAGGGACTTTTGAGTTTAAAAACAGGGTTCTTGAATAAGGGAGGAGTGTAGCCAGCAGGTAGTTTCATGTAGACATTCTCTTCTAAATCCCCATGTAAGAAAGCTTTGTTGATGTCTAGTTAGTGGATGTTCCATCATTGAGAAGTTGCAATGATAGGGAATAATCTGATGGTGGTCATCTTGACCACTAGAGCAAAGGTATCCTGGTAGTTAACACTTCCTGTTGGTTGTATCCTTTAGCTACAAGTCGAGCTATGTGACGCTCGATTGAACTAGTGGAAAGGAATTAAAGCCTATAGATCCATTTGTTGTCAACTTGTCTAACTCCTTATGGATCTTCAACAACATCTCAGGTGCGGTTTTGTCAAAGCAAACAGTTCAACATCTATAGTAGCATTCCGGAAAGGAGATTGGGTGGCTTCTTGATAAGTTATTGGTTCTTTGTGAGATAAAATCAGACAAAATGGTTGTGTGAGGATAACAAGTTATCATAATGAATGACAAAACTTAGTGGATGAGTGAAACTTGAAGCCTGCTGCTGGGAATAATGAATGGTGGAAGAAATCTGATGAAGCAAGTTACAATGGTAGGCTTGTAGTTTGATGGGAGGTTTGGTGATTCTGGTGGACTTTCAAAGAGGTGGGGGAGGTGTTGGAGGTGGAGAGGAAGATAGCGGAGGTGTCAGGAGTATATGAGGAAGATGCAGGGCTTTAGGAGGTAGTGTCTGGGTCAAAATCAAAGTGGATGTTGTTATGATAGTCTACTGAGGAAGTGGAGGGGTTGGTTGGGGGGGGGGGAGATGGATGATAGATGGAGCCGATATCACCAAACAAGGCAGGATCAGGGATGTTGGGGTAGATGTGTTGGTTGGGATTGTCTTTGGTTTGTGGTTTAAAGGGAAAGTGATGTTCATGGAATTGAACATCTTTGGAAGTTAAAGTTTCATGATTTGTGAGATCATAAATTCTGTAGTCTATAATGTCAGAAGTAAAGCCAATGAAAACACTCTTTCTAGCTCTAGGATCAATCTTGTTTTTTGATTGCTTGGTGTGGTAGCAAAACACAAACAACCAAAAACTTTAAGGTCTGTGAGGTCTGGTGGTTTGTTGTGAAGTTTTTCAAAGGGTGTTAGATTTCCAAGAACAATGGTAGGAACTCTATTGATTAGATAAACAACATGCTTGACACAATCCCCCCCCCCCCTCCCCCAAGAAACTATAAAGTAGGTGGGCTTGGAATTTTAAGGCCCTAGCAACAACTAAAATGTGTTGGTATTTTCTTTCAACTTTGTCGTTTTGTTGTGGGGTTTCAACACGGGATCGTTCATGAAAAATCCGTGCATGTTGTAAAAAATCACTCATTTGGAACTCCCTACCTTGATCACCCCTGATTCTTCTAAATGGTGTTTCAAATTGTCTTTCAATGTAGTGACATAATTCTTGTAACTTTGATCTAGCTTCTGATTTAGCTGATAGGAGAATGATCTAAATCCATTTGGTGAAGTCATCAACAACTGTAAGGAAGTATCTGAAGCCATCATGACTAGTAACATGATTTGTCCCTCAAATATCCACAAGTATTAATTCGATAGCCTTCGCAGTAACAATAGAACTAATAGGAAAAGGTAACCCTTTCTATTTAGCAAAATGATAGACATCACAAGGTAAAAACCTATATGTTTCTATGAATGTACAAAGTTGTTTCAAAAGAGGGACTTTGGAATGTGAAACATTCCCTGGTCTAAAATGCCAGAGGTCAAAAGGTTGGGTGTTAGCAGTTGTAATGTGTTTAGGGATGGTGTGTTGTCTATGAGGTAAAGGCCATGGAAGAACTTAGCAGAACCAATCATCCTCCTCACCTGCATGTCCTGAATCAAACATACGTCAAAGAAGAATATAAACAAAGAGACTTGCTTTTGGTCAGTTTACTCACTAACACAAGATTGAAACTGAATTGAGGTACAAAGAACACCTCCATGAGGTCTGGACCTGTTGTCCCGTTGGGAGAGTGATATAGACATTGTGTATCCTTCTATAGTTGTTTAGGTGACTAAGGGAACACACTATGAGGTCTAATGCTCCTGTATCTAGGATCCATGTTTGGTTTAAGTCATACTAGGTTGAGTGTTGAGGGAATATTTACCTGAGAATCCTGGTGTGTTGTTAACAAATATTGCTATTGAAAATACCGATCCAGCATGAGAGTGAGGTTTTGTACTCATTAAGCTCATCAGCTTGTCATAGTCTTCATTGGTCAGTTTGAACTCTCCCTTTGTATCACTTGCATATTGTTTGCTTTTGTTGATGCATCTTCCAGCTCCATTGAGATTGAAGGCTAGCCATGTTTTGAAAAGCACTTTTCCTCTGTATGACCAAGTTTATTGCAGTAGCTGCACTCCATTAATCTACCCGATGGATTGGACCCTATTGGATTCATTCTTGAAGGCTTTCTGTGTGGCCTTGAGATATGTAATGTGTGCAGTAGGGTCTGGTTGTTTGCAGGAATATGACTTGGTGACACCAAAACACACTTTCAAGTTTCAACAACAAGTGCCTTGCCCTCTTGGGTACCATATTGTTGTATCTCATGCTGGAGCATCCTTTGAAAGACCCTGTCAATGGGTGGCAAAGTATCTCCAAAAATAACTTGGGATCTCACACTAGTATAAGTGTCATTGATTCCCCTTAAAAATTGTATCATATATTTTGCATATTTGTAAACAAAGACCTGTTGCATAGCCCTACACGAGTGTGACTAGTTGGTTTACAGGTACATGGATACAAGGGTTGATATTTGTCTAGTTCATCCTTCAAGACTATTAGGTTTCCATAGTATTCTGTGACAATTTGATTACCTTGTTTCAATGTAGTCATTGCTTCAATGAGCTCTGCTACCCTGACTATGTCGCCTTGTCCATATCGAGCTATAAGGCTTCTCCATGCTTCAACTGCCTTCTTGATAGACATGATGGTATTTGTGATCCCAGGTTCAACTGCCTATTGGATCCATGAAAGGACTATGATGTTGTTTCTGTTCCAAGCCCAAGTTGATGCATTGTCAACTGCTAGTCAACAAGTGTCCCATCAATGAAGCCAAGTTTGTTTTTGGCTCTAAGTGCATTGTGCATTGCTTTGCTCCCACCATTGTAATTGATGGTGATAAGCTTCTTTGCTACAAGAACAAGACAGGGTTGTTCGGATCCATGGAGATAAAAAGGGATTTACCACAGGATATGGGTTAACTGCTGCTTCTTCAGCCATAGTTGCTAGTGGCGGTTAGGTTTTCTATAAACTAGACTCTGATACCATAACAAAAATTTATCTCGGTGAAGACTGAAAACCTACTTGTTCTCATTGTTGTCTCCACATATATAGTTGGATCAAAGTAGCAGAAGAAGACAACCTTGCTTCATAAGCAAGTATAATCCAGAAAAGGAAAAACGTACAAAAATATAACATTGGGTACTTAAATGTAAATTGTCACCATGTCGTCATTCTCGGGTCTTTTTAGCTGCACCTGAAACGACATCATTACAGCTTCATCTTCCTTCCTTCTGATATGAGCACAGGAAATTCAAATGTTTTGAATTGTTCCCTTATACGACCATAATGGGTAGGGGAAGGTCACTTGAGATTGTCCTCCCTATATAGTTTGGTGAAATGATAAACAAAAGCCTTTTTAAATCCCTCCTTCCCAGTCAACAAGTCCTCCATTTAATTTGATGATTCAAACAGAATTCTCGTGTCAGTGAAAGTTGACGACTTAGTAAAAAAAAGTTACATTCTTATCTCATTTCTTAAACCACATTTCTCACAAAAAAAAGTTATTTTTCATCATAAGCACTATGTCAAGAGTCAAGACCATACTAAAAAAAGGCATCGATCCATTCTTTATCATTTTGAAGTCAATCCACACTTTTTTTGTTATCGATAGCCTCTATAAATTCAAATTTTCACATCTGCACACATAAATACTTCTATGTTCCAAGTTCGCACCTTCCCTTTTGTGACATTAAACCTCTCCCCGAACAAGTCTCCAAAGCTCAAATTCCAATTCTTAATTATGAATGTTTCTTACGTATGATATTTTGTAGGATTCAATCCCTAGCATGAGGATGTTGCCTCGCATCAATTTTTGTTATAGAAAAATCAATGATTACCCCATCTAACTAATCTTTCTTTTTATTTTTAAAAAGTCCACCTCCATCCATTCTCCAACTACATTTCTTGTTATAGAAAAAATCAATTTATCGCCCAACGGAAAAGCCGTCTTTCCGTAACAAGACAAACAACAGAGGCCTCCCATTAACAATCGTTGGCCGTCCTAAAATATATCGACATTAACACTAACCCACACCAAGACTAATTACAATTAACTAATGGAAAACGGCAGAATTAAAAAAATAATAAACTGAATTAATCAAGATTATTATTATTATAAGTCCAAACCCGTACTGTGTTTACAAAGCCGTCCTCATTATTCCCTTTCCCCTCCCCACCAACTTAGACCACAAAATACATCCTTCCCACTCCGCCTCTCTCTCTCTCTCTCTCTCTCTCTCTCTCTGCCTCCATATGTCCCGCCACCAGTTCTCGCCGCTTTAAAAATTTACTTCTTCTTCTCCCTCCATCCAAAAATCCAAAATCGAAAAACAGAGAAAGGGAAAGGAAGAAAAAAACCATGTTGGGGAAGAAGATGGTGTCGTTCAGGAAACTGGCGAGGAAAGTGAAGGTGATCAGCAGCATCAGGGGCGGCAATTATTACGGCGGCGAGTACGATCTGCCGCCGTCGACAACCCCGCCGCCGCAGTACGAGTGCCTGTTGGGGGAACTGGAGTCGGAAATGGCGACGACGCCGACGGGTTACTTCGCGGTGTACGTAGGGGAAGAGAAGGAGAGGTTCGCGGTGCCGACGGGGTTCTTGAGCCACCCTCTGTTCAAGATGTTGATGGAGAAAGCGTACAGCGACCAGCAGTGCCTGGACAGGCTCGTCATTCCGTGTACCGTCGCCACGTTTCAGGAGGTTGTAGCCGCTGTGCAGTGCTGTAACGGCAGGTTTGATTTGGGGAATTTGGTGGAGGAGTTGTTGTAGAGAAAAGGCCAAAAGGGAAAGTAAAGGAAGGGAGGAAAAAAACAGAGTAAGAACAGAGTTTGTTTGTTTTTGTAGAAATCAGTGCTTAAATGCGTTGGTTAGTGAAGGGTGCGTGGTGTAGAGAAGGGGAAGGGGATAATTCATATTGTTACTTAATTCATAAGGTGTTTGTGATTGATTGTTACATATTCGTAAACTGGGAATTGGTGACAGAAATGAACATGGGGTCAAACTTGTTTCTTTGTAAATGTTTCCTTGGACGTCTTTCTTTTCCTAGTTTTGATCCGATCTCAGAGTAAGAAAAGGGCAAATGACGGATTAGGGTTAGGATCCTGCTTGGAAGTGATGCACATCCAATTTGCAAGGAGCTTGGTTTTTGGTTTTTGTAATGGTGAAGATAATGTAAGAGAGGTCCTCCGCGAAAATTAGTTCGAGCCGAGTATGATAAAAAGGTTAATATAGTACGTAAAATGAAGAGAGAGATGGGGTTCCCTCATTTTTTTAAAAGAGAGAGATTTATACTGTAACCAATCATTTTCAAATAGGATTAAATTTCAATTTCACAAACACTATTTTCACAAAGCATTCGTTAAATGTACAAAGAATTCACATTGTTTGAGTGAAGATTTATGTAAATAATAACTATGTGCCTTCAATTCCAATCAAAATGAAACAAAAATGTAAAGCTAACACCATCATTAGGAATGGCAATGGGGCAGGTCCGGGGCGGGTATCTCGATACCCATACCCGCCCCATGGTAGGTCGGGTACAGGTCGGGTAATTTATCACGGGACGCGGGTCGGGGCAGGTCGACCCATTGGGTATGTAATTTATGTGGAAAACATAAGAAATATTCGTTCTTTTCATTGAAGGACCAAGAAAGAAACCATAATATGATAAAATGTAGTTAAATTATTAAAGAAATTGAGGTTTTCACTTATTTACAACTTTATTATAGCTAAAATGTAATGTAATAAGAGGAAAATCTTAAGTAATTTGACTAAAATTATATGTAATTTAGGTAGTCGAGAATGGGTCGAGTCAAGGCAGGTCGGGTCGATGAGAGGTATCCTTGCCCGCCCCGCCCACGGAGCGGGTTTGACCCGCCCCAAAACTGGTCAAACAGGTCGGGTAAATCGGGTCAGATCGAAATTGCCATCCCTACCCATCATAAACCTGTTCATGGTTGTTGTTGACAACTAACACCATAAGCAACTAATTGTTTAATTGTGCAAACTGTTTGAGAATGATTGGTTGCAGTATGAATCTAATCCTTAGAACTAATATAGTACAAATGGGAATTTTCCTTAGTTCCCAAGTAATTTTCTTATTATTATCTGTAGTAAATAATACACATCAGTAAGAATAGTCTCACAACTCACAAGACACATGTAAGTACTATAATCGGATTGTCAATTAATATGAATACATAGATCATAGCTTTTCGGCGCTTTCAGTGAGCACCATAATCGGTTGTCAACTAATATGGATCCATAGTCCATAGCTCTCTGGTGTGTTTTTTTTTTTTTTTTACCGTATCAAATATCAATCATTTGTATCAGATGAGAGAGCAATATCAATCAATCAGTTCCCTAACCCTTCACAAATTCAACGTGTCTTTTTCTTGCCTGCAATCAAGGCGATAGAAAGCAAGCGGTCCAGTCAATTTGGCGCAGCGAAGCTTGACTTCTATTCCTGCTGCTGCTGCTTCACCTTCACCTTCATCCTCACAATCTCGCTTATCTCTAGTTAAGATCGCCACAGCTGTAGGTAAAAGGACCCTAAACCAGTGATCTTCTGATTGTCTGCATCTGCCTACTCACAAGTCAAAGCTCAATCCAAATCCAAATCCAAACTGACAAACAAAGAGCTCTCCTTTTCTTCTTATTTGTCACATTGTACAGTTGTAGTACGACAAAATAACATTTCAACCCAGACCATGTCTATGAACTGCCTTGTTTACTTAATCAAGGAAGTCTAAATAAAATTTCTGCCGACAACTTCTTCCTACTTCACTCGATCTTCTTCACAAGGCGTCGACGAGGATCCGCTTGATATCATCCACGAACTTGTGCATCTGCTCCCTGGAGTGCAGCGGCCACGGGTAGACACACGCACAGTCCAACTCTCCGTTCCTGATGGTATCGAAAATGGCGAGCGAAGGCCCCACGCTGTGGATCGAAGCGCACCCTACGAAGTCCTCGATGCCGAGCAGGGAATGCAGATCGTTGGTGTCGTCGATGAGCGCGTTCTCGAACACCGAGACCAGCGCAGTTCGCTGGGCCGAAGATGGGGTCAGGCCTGGGTTCTCGATGGCCTTGACCATCAGGAAGTTGAGGTCCGACATGTCGCTGAAGTGCTTGTTGTTGTTCTTGGCGTCGGCGTAGGATTTGTAGCACCTCTCGGCCAGATCCCACAGCTTGTCTTCCATGTTCACGTCGTGTGAATTGGTAATGGCCGAGTGGTAGAACCCTGCAACAAACTCTCACCCCATTACACATTCACATCTTCAGCAACATAGATAGAGTGCAGGGCAAGTGTGTTTTTGAGTGAACTGACCGAGGTGGTGGATGCTCAGGACGGGGTCGAGAATCGAGCGACAGTCGAGGAGGGTCGCGATGGAATATTTCTCTCGCTGGAGTTGATCAGGAAGGTCTTTGGTAGAACGTGCGGCGATCATTGCAGCAGCTGCTAATACTGCGCACAGTTTTATATTCCTTGCGTTGCAGGCCTGCAATTTTCATAAACAGAGGATGGAAATTGCATGAAACTCAAATGAATAATCAGCTGGAGAGTCACTTTCCCTGACCAACCCAGAGACCCACCCACCATGGCAACCTAACTGCTTGGTTGAACATGATTAAGTTCCTACTGAATAAATTAAAGATACAGAATGGTCAACGTATACCTGAAGTTGGCAACATTCTATCGAGTAGTCACCAACTTATTAGGATAACAAAACGGCTACTTCTCTCCTTGTAATGTACGAGGAAGGCGAGGTCCTCTTATCATGATAATAGGTTCATCATTCGAATTGTTGGAAGAGGTTTCGTATTAAACATTTGACCCACCACCGGTTGACCACTGGACTACTGCGGAAGAAGAGGTCTCTTAACTCTTAAGCATGGCAGACACATTGGCTACCGCTAAGCTTAGCTCAACCAGCTAATTCGTTTATGAACTCCTATGGGCTATGGTTACGCTTCTTTTGAAGCAATATGCAATATTAGAGTGAAACCCCAATTCAATAACAGCAATGTGGACCGTCTAAATGAAAATCAATAACAATGTGCGGAGCAGACTTACGGCGACGAGCTTGGCAGTGTGGTCGGAGCTCAGCATCAGCCGGACCAAGCGGGAGCAGCGGGGGGAGCCGGCGGCGTCGACGAATTCCAAATTGGCAGTCCGCAGAGCATTCAGGGAGTAACCAAGCATGTCCTTCCCACGCGCCCAGAACGGCTTGTTCGCTTTGCCGCTAGGGATGCACTCCTCGATACCCAATCCCAATCCTAATCCCGATCCCGATCCCGATCCAACCTCCATTTCTTTCCCTCCGCCGACCAACTCCAGCAGCTCCGCTAGCAGAGCCACCGCGGACGACCTATCGCACGCCCCGGTGTGCAGCCGGAGCGCCAACACCCACCGCGTGTCGCTCAGGGCGTAAGAGCTCACGAAGAAGAGCTCGGCGTCGGCGTTTGGGTCGGTGGCCCAGGGGTTCTTGTTCATCTCGTGCTCGATGACCAGCTGGTGCTTGGGGATGGAGAACTTCTCGATTCCGTCTGCGGCGGCGCTGGTGACAATGTCGGCGGTGGAGGCGAGATCGAACTGCTGGATTTGGAGGTAAGGCGACGGGGAGGCGACGAAAGAGAAGGTGTTGGCGACGGCGTCGAAGTGGAGCTTGGAGCGGAGGATCGGGTGGGAGCTCTGGAGCTTGTGGAGGGCATTTTGGAGAATTTGTATTTCTGGGGGTTTGGAGAGGAGAAGGACTAGGACGGTGATGCCGGTGCCGGCGGGGACGGCTCTGCACCAGCTGTACTCGGTTCCGCCGACCGGTCGGGTCGTGGGTTCCGGCTGGTCGGGGCTGGGATCGGCGCCGCCGTGGTCCAATTGGTTCGACATGTTGGATTCAAGATGGAGAGGTTTGATGCGAGATTCAGGGGGGAGATTGGGAGAGAGAGCAGGGAAGAAGACGAAGAAGAAAGAGGAGACTGTTTATTGTTCAGGAATTGGTAAATCTCATCAATTGAATCTGGAATTTATGCTATCGACAGACAGCTCTTTGGATCGTACGCTTCCAGTTTAATTTACAGTTTTACACTGCCACTGTCTATTGTTCTTACAGAGAAGTAGGATGGCACGATGAATCAAGAAAGCCAATTATGTAGATACTGCAAAACGCTTTGTTCTGTATAGGCAACAAGGACAAATAAGAAAGAACAGTCCAGGACGTATCGTTGAGTAGGTGGGTACTCTTCCTTGAGTAGGAATGATAATGAAAGGAACTTTCGAGTCTGGACAAATCGTTGATGGGGTAAGTACAGAGAAGGGTTTCTGAAATTTTCGGTGGGAATTGTCACCACAGGGACCACGAGGATATTCTTACCGTTGGAGCAATGGCTTTCTAGCAATGTTGTCGTAATCGAACCCGAACATGATCCGGTAATGTGAACGACTCGTACTTTAATAATCTAATCGATATTAAATCGTTACAAAACCGTTAGAGAACCATTGTATTATAAACAATAATATCATAAATAAAAAATACATAAGATAATAATTTAACATTTAGGTGACTACAATCAAATTTACTTTGTAGATACCATTTAGTAATATTATTACGTTTATATATATACTCATTCACAAAACCCTACTAAACAGTCGCCCTTCCCCTTCTTCTTTCTTCTCTCTTCTTCTTTCTTCTTATGTGTCGCTTCTTTTTCTATTCTTTCTTCCTCTTCTTCTTTCTTCTTCAGTTCTTCCGTTCAAGTTTCTTCTGCCGCAGTGGAGGACTAAAAGGCATTGGTAGTCAAGAGCGCCGGCTATGGGGGCGCCTTTTCCCCTTTCCTTTCATTTACAATTTTTTTTTACATAAACCCAACCGGCCGAAATGAGAAAGTCGGGTGTTCAGCTCGAGCGGCCCGAGCGGTTAACTGCCTCGGTCGCTCGTCGACCGCCCTTAAGACCCGTTCCGGCTAAATAGCTGTATCAAGCCGGTTTGGTGGTTGGATGGCAGTTTTACCGGTCCGACCGGCCGGTTCGGCTCGAATTTGATAACACTGCTTCGTAGTATTCCAAATTATAATGGGAAGAGAGTAA